GGGACTCGATCCCAGGACCCTGGGATCACGACCCGAGCCGAAGGCAGGCACTTAACCTCCTGAGCCACCCAGGCGTCCCGGCATCAGTAACTTCTTAATTAATGTGTTATCACACAATTAGGCCAATAGCCACAGGTCTTTTGGGTTATCCTGAATTGGTTTTTGACTACAGTGAATTATGAGGCTGTCTTGTGAATGCTTTGTCTACTCCATCAATCAGGAAATTCACCAGGGCCATTTGAAAGAAAATGTATTCCAGAAGAGCCTACCAGGAAGGAATTTGTAAGTAAAGGGTTTCTACAGTCAGCAGGGTGTACTTTCCAAGATTTTCAGGGCAATAATGATATCGCTGGAGGGTGGTAGTGATGCTGCAAGGTACATAGGGATCTTAGTCCCCTTCATGTGCACCTGCATGTGGGTAAATACTTCAGTTCAAATCACAAAGAAATCAAGACTTTAGGAGCAGAAGAGACAAAGGCTCAACTAGAAGACAGTCAATGTGAAGGCTTAATGAAAAGCAAACAGGATCATTCAAGGAAACAAGCTCAACATACGAAAACCCAAGATTAGAAAACAAATAAGAATCAGTTACTTATTTTAACAAGAAGTTATTACTTCAAGCATAAACACTCCCACTCCATCTAAAATATGATTAATGTAAAATTAGTCAATTCATGTAAAATATGATTAATACCATTGCATTGTTTATATGTGTTTTAAGAATAGTGTACATGGTATTATAAAAAGCAAAACAGTTGTGCAGGGGAAGAATGAAGGGGAGTAAGTCGGAGGGGGAGACGAACCATTAGAGACAATAGACTCTGAAAAACAAACTGAGGGTTCTAGAGGGGAGGGGGGTGGGGGGATGGGTTAGCCTGGTGATGGGTATTAAGGAGGGCACGTTCTGCGTGGAGCACTGGGTGTTATGCACAAACAATGAATCATGGAACACTGCATCCAAAACTAATGATGTAATGTATGGTGGTTAACATAACAATAAAAAAATTATTAAAAAAAAAAAAGCAAAACAGTTGTGTAGTCTTAATGCCAGTATCTTACCAACTGAGACACAGGGGTGTATATTCAAAGGTACAATTTCCAGAACTGCACTTAATACTCCAGGAGTAGCCAAGTATAGATTTATACTAGACCAGGGTAGCACTTTTACTTTTATTTTCTTCATATGGCACAGCATTTTCTTACCTATCTTGCTTCAATTTATTGAGCTGATCTCTTTGGGAAATGTTCTAAAGTTGATCCTAAATTTCTTTTGGTTTTCCTGAGTTAAGGTGAGTATCTCAGAGCCATCAGGACAGGCCATTTTACTGTATGGTCAGTGAATCTCCACCTGCTGTTGGCATCAGTGCCTGGAGCGACACAGGAGAGCAGTGGGGTTGGTGCATCACTGAAGTCCTCCCATTCCACCTTCACCTAGGAGTCAGCCGGCCCCCTTCCAGGGGTGGGGGGAATAGTTGCTTCCCGGCGTTCAGCAAAGGTAATGGCCAGCTACACCCCCTTAAGAATGTCTGCCGTTGGGTTCTCATAGGGCAACTGGCAAGAATTCCAGAAAATCTTCCTAAATCTTCCTAAATCTTCGAATGAACCCTCCCTGAGAACAGAAAATGTCACTCAGAGAGAAGGTGACGAGACAAGGGAAGTAGTGGGTGAGGACATCAGAGAGAAGGAGGAACGGGCGGGAGAGGAGGGGGCCGCGGGGTTGGGTGCGCCTGAGGGCCCCAGAGGGTCCATCTCTGATGGGCTCTCAGCTGGCAGCCTCTGAAGTTGTTATGGCTGGTTAGCAAAAGAGAAATTTACTGGGTGGACTGGGGTGGAGAGACTCACAGAACCTTGGAAAATGTGCAGGAACTGAGGGGCTTCACAGCTGAGCAGCCGCGACAGGCCCCCAGGATGCAGCTATTGCCATCACTTATCTACCCCCAGGCTGCCACTGTTGCTCATGGAACTTGAACCATCCTGGTTTCTGGAAATTTAAAGTTATGGATAGGACGGTCTGATGGGGCGAAATCCAGTCATGCCTGCCTCCTATTGTTGGGGGCAGGGAGAGGTGTAGACCTCTTAGAGTCTCATTTGGCTTCCACTGTGGGATATGGGGCACTTTCCCAACAAGGCTTATGTAATTGGCAGGGGGAGGGTCCCCTTAAATGAGAAGGGAGTTGAGTGCTGGGCAATTAAAAGTAGGACAGAGGCCCAAGGTAGTCACATTAAAAAACATTCAGGGAATTGTTAATGGGGCTTAGAGATTTTTTAAAAAATTGTTATTTGTTCTTTTGCAATGAAAGACACTTTCTATCATCTGGGAAATTATTTAAGACCGAGGCTATCACCAAAGAAAAAAAATGTTAAAGGCAATTTTATAGTTTTCTGCTGATTCATATCTAGGATCAGCCAAAAAAAATTAAAATTCTTTCTTAGGTACCTTGGGAATACTTAAAAATCCATTCCAGATCTATGGGTGTTCAGCAAAAATCATCAAGGTTAACCTATAATCTAACTCTCCAGATGATGAAGGGGTAAGGAATCACAGGCTGCGTAGTCAGAGACTGAGGTTGGGCAAGATAAGAGTTAGCTGGAAGTAGGAAAACTGCAGACTTAATAAAACATGGGCGTGGTTGGAGCCATAGTTGAGGGAGGGGTGACATCTTTGAGCAGCGCTGAGGCAGTAAATGCTTGATACTGGATGGAGATGTAGGTCCAGAAATGATCTAAACAAGCAGCTCTTAAGGATGATATTTTGTTTGGGAGAAGGAAGCCAGAAGAAATGTAAGATGGGTGGGGGCTGGGGGGTGGGGCAGAGCAGAGAGAGAGAGAATCTTAAGCAGTCTCTACACCCAGCACAGAGCCTGACACTGAGCTGGATCTCACGACCCCGAGATCATGACCCGAGCCGAAATCAAGAGTTGGATGCTTAACTGACTGAGCTACTCAGGGGCCCCACCAACCTCTTCTTTAGAGTATAAATCCAGAACATGCACTTGACAAATATATGGGTTGCCCAAGTAAGAATGAAGTCCCTCTGGCATACATAGGCCCTGGGGTAAAGGGTGCTCTGGTTGCATCACAAAAGGGTGAGATCATGACCAGGAAGAATAAGTATGACCAGTTTATAAGCACAAGATACTGTTATTATTGGTGTTCTTTTGACTTTTATCATGTGAATGCTTGGATCTTAGCAGGGAAAAAAGGGTCCCACTGCCATACTTGTTTCTACAGGGGAAGTCCTGTCTCTCTTTAAGGAGCATGTTTTGCTTCCAAATAGATGTCTTCCTTCCAGGTTCTATCTGTTCTGTGCATCCTGCCTTCTCCTGCCAATTTTGCCTTCAAGAGACTCTGCTTCCAACTCATCATCCCTCTTCAAAATACCTCTTTTGCTCCTAGCAACTAAAAGGGCAAAATCCCCACTTTCCTTTGTTGGAAGCCGTTCTAGGCTCTCTTCCTATCCAAACCCTGCCCTGTGCTAGCATCTGCTGGAATCCATCATCCTCTGCTAAGTATTCTGTAATTGTCCAGGGTGAAATTAATCTCGCCGCCCTCTGAACAATAATTGTCCTTATTTTCTGTACCACAGAACTATTTCCCCTTCATACAGAAAGAGCTCAACAATGCTGATTGGCTGAAATGGGAAGGGCAACAAATTATACTGGAAAGAATATGGGCTTTGGAACTGGACCTGCCTTGACTTTTGAAAATACTTATTTGGGCTGTTGAAGGTCCATTTTCCTCATCTATAAAATGGGAATAGTAAAATCCACACCACAGTATTGTGTTGTCAGGAGATCGTATATGTAAAGCTCTTGGCACATGGTAAGTGTTAAATAAGTGCTAGACATTTTATTTTTACATTGTAAAAATAGGGAGCAGCGACATACTTTTTAGTTTTAAAGGTAGCTATTGGTAGGGAAAACAAATCACATTCCATATAGAATAAATTAATATTGTTTTAGGGACAAGATGTGTATAGCAGAAATAGAACAATTTTTAGTCCTTTCTTCCAATTACAGGTTTTAGGTGAATAAAAATCAATTAGGCTTTAAAAGATTTTAAAAAGGTCACTTTAGTACACATGTGTAGGTACCCAAACATTTCAGATTTACATCTTGAAAATCTAACTTTTAGTTAATGGACATTTGATTATCATTTGCAATAAGATAATTAGCAAGTCTTAAAAAATTTTTTGATACAAAAAATGTGGATAATAATATAATCAACAGCCAGTTTATTTTAAAAGATATTTCTCTAGGAAATGAATCAAGAGTGTTCAGGGGTGCCTGAGTGGCTCAGTTGGTTAAGCGTCTGCCTTCCGCTCAGGTCATGATCTCAGGGTCCTGGGATGGAGCCCTGCGTTGGGCTCCCTGCTCAGTGGGGAGTCTGCTTCTCCTTCATCCTCTCTCTTTGGCCCTCCCCCTGCTTGAACTCTCTCTGTCTCTCACAAATAAATAAAATCTTTTTTAAAAAAGTGTTCAGAGCTACAGAGAGTGAATAGTATGTGATAAGTAAGGCAGTGCTGTGCTGGGAGGGTTTGGGCTTTAAAGAATAAGGTGGTACAGATTGAAATGGAAAGCTGGTGTATTGCTTGTAAAAACATCCACCGTGCTGACCCCTTTCAATAATTCTAGGACTAAGTGTTTACCTAATAGCTTTTTTTGCAAACTCCATATGGACTTCAATGAAAACCCAACCAATACGACAGTAAATATTCCCTCACTACAAGGAATATTTGCTGCCATTGTAATGTGATGAAATATGAATTTAAAAATAAGCTGAAATATAGCTTTTCACATAATCTTTTATTGAATTGCTAATACCTTATCTCTTTTTATAAGACAAAATGTCAAAGTAATAATCGTGGCTTCCAACCAACTCCACCTCAAAATTCAAGACATTTCTGTCTTCGATGTTTCTTCAGTGATTGTAACATCTTCACAGAAAAGATCACGGATATTTAAAAGAAACACACTTATAAAACATTATTTGAGCTGGGCCAAGATGGCGGCGCGGTGTTCCACGCGCTGGTTGCTGGTGGCTGTGGGGACCCCCCCGGCTGCCGGCTGCAGCGGGGAAAGGCGCCGGGCCGCCCAGGGGGGGTGTGGTGGGGGCTTCGCTGGGCTACAAGCTGAACGTCACTACCTTCGTGCCTTCCTTGGGAGCTCGGGGCTCCGGTGCGCTGCTGACATTGAGACCCGGTGTCAGCTTCAAAGGAGTAAGAAGTTACCCTTTTGTTTGTACTGCCTCCTTCCACACGAGCTCCCCTTTGGCCAAAGAGGATTATTACCAGATACTAGGAGTGCCCCGAAATGCCAGCCCGAAGGAGATCAAGAAAGCCTATTACCAGCTGGCCAAGAAATACCACCCAGACACAAATAAGGATGATCCCAAAGCCAAGGAGAAGTTCTCCCAGCTGGCAGAAGCCTATGAGGTGCTGAGTGAGGAAGTGAAGAGGAAGCAGTATGATGCGATCGGCTCTGCTGGCTTCGATCCTGGGGCCGGCAGCTCCGGACAGAGCTACTGGAAGGCAGGCCCCACTGTCAACCCAGAGGAGCTCTTCAGGAAGATCTTTGGGGAATTCTCATCATCTTCTTTTGGAGATTTCCAGAATGTATTCAATCAGCCTCAGGAGTACATCATGGAGTTGACGTTTAATCAAGCGGCCAAGGGGGTCAACAAGGAGTTCACCGTGAACATCACTGACACCTGTGAGCGGTGTGACGGCAAGGGGAACGAGCCTGGCACCAAGCTGCAGAACTGCCACTACTGTGGCGGCTCTGGAATGGAAACCATAAATACAGGCCCTTTTGTGATGCGCTCCACATGTCGGAGATGTGGGGGCCGAGGCTCCATCATCACGACTCCCTGCGTGGTATGCAGAGGAGCAGGACAAGCCAAGCAGAAGAAGAAAGTGGTGATCCCCGTCCCTACCGGAGTTGAGGATGGCCAGACTGTTCGGATGCCTGTAGGAAAACGGGAAATTTTCATCACATTCAGGGTGCAGAAAAGCCCTGTGTCCGGAGGGACGGTGCAGACATCCACTCCGACCTCTTTATTTCCATAGCTCAGGCTCTTCTTGGAGGGACTGCCAGAGCTCAGGGCCTATACGAGACCATTACCGTGACGATCCCCCCTGGGATTCAGACAGACCAGAAGATTCAGATGAGTGGGAAGGGCATCCCCCGGATTAACAGCTATGGCTATGGAGATCACTACATTCACATCAAGATAAGAGTTCCAAAGAGACTGACAAGCCGGCAGCAGAGCCTGACCCTGAGCTACGCTGAGGACGAGACCGACGTGGAGGGGACAGTGAACAGCATCACCAGCACCAGCATGGGAAAACGGTCCACTGGAAACTAGGCCGGGAGTAGCAGCCCCTCCTCATGGCCAGGGCACCAGAAGGATTCCAGAATCAGCAGCACCGGGCCCCTTCCGGCAGAGGGCAACAGCAAAATCATGTGACAACATACGTCTCCACTGAATGGTCACGGGACAGCCCCTGGCAGTAGGATGTGGCACGAGTAAGGGGTGGTAGAACTTTCCTGTCCATGGGTAGGTAACGTGGCCTCTTCTGGCTCAGGCGGAATAAAACAACTGGACACATCTTTCAGAGCTAAAACTCTAATTTGGAATCAAATGTGGAGATACTAGTTAAAGAATTAAAGGCCATGCTTACAGCTTAAAAATGAAGCCTTAAGCTGCACCGAGTCATGAAGTGATTAATTTCCCTCTCAGCAAACCTCCGAGAGGTTCTGGAATGAGTCTTTCCTTCCAGGTTGTCTTTCTGAGGAACCTGGGGCCTGCACGCCCCACCACATCATCCATCCTTCAGCAGAGACGTCCTATTTCCTTCCTGGAGTTTGTTTTAATTCCCAAAGATCCCAAGCAGCTGGAATGTGGGCACCTTGGGGCCTGGGGAGGCACATACCAAGGGCGTCCCTGGAGATGCCATTCCTGACCATGTGGGCCGTGATCTTTATCAGGACGGATAGTCCTTCCTTCCACAGTGTGGGGGGTGACCTCTCGTCCCCGACTGTTGAGTTCTGTTGTTCTAAGCCAGGCGTGGGGCTCCTGCCTTTCTGCTGGACCACAGGGGGTCACGGCTGCAGCCGGGGCCCAGCAGGCTAACAGCCTGTTAACCCAGTGCCCTGGCCCCTCTGCCAGGGGCTTAGTTCTCACCTCTCACCCTGTTGACATCTGTTTTCAGAAGTGTGTGTAAGTTTTTCAATGCTGAGAATCATCGTCTTCTGTAGAAATGTTTGTTCAGAAAAGGAAAGCACAGTCTGAGCAGTTGAAGATTTCACCGTCCAGCCAGAGCAAACCACAGTCCCTCAGCCTCAGCTTGTAGGATGTACGGGCTCCATGTGTTTCCAGATCCTACCCCCGTGGTAAGACAGGCTAATGGAGAAAACTTATGAATAGTTTCCTTTTTGTTTTCCTTCATAATTTACTAAAATAAAGTATCTATTACTGTCTGATCTAAGAATGTAAAATGATTCTATATCAATGTAAATAAGATATTACTGCAAAAAGATTTAAAGCATAAAAAAACATTATTTGAAAATTGTCAAAGTTAGTTTTATGCTTAAAGTATGATTTTCAAAAAAAAAGTTGGAAGAGTCATCAAAGAAGAATCATCAATCAAAGAAGCTTAAAGCTAGAAGATCATGTGGCCTAGCCCCTCATTTTGTGTTTATAATATTATTATTGTAGAAACATGGTAGATCAGATGCCTCTGCCCTTTCAAATTCTCTTTCCGCCTGCCCCATAATCTCTCTCTACTTGCCCTTCTTTGTGGTGGTTGAACTAAAAAGACTGCAGAAAACAGGCTCTCTCGCCCTCTGACTTTGGCTTACTGATCAATGGGGAGTCCCTAAGAGATATCAAAGGAAAGGAGTATTTTCAGGAAGCCCTAGCTGGGTGCCTACCTTAATGAAAAGTCATAACTCATATCAGGCAAGCCCCTCCTTCCAGATTTTTCTAATCACTCCCTCTCCTTGTCCCTTCAGGCCTAAGCGTAGTAAGAACTGTTGCTACACCTGGATATTACCCTCCCTCCTGTGGTGTCACACGTAGTGGTTCTCAAATTTTTCACTTGCATTGGAATCACCTGGAGGGCTCCTTAAACGGTAGGTTACCCCCCCTGCAGTTTCTAATTCAGTAGGTCTGAGGTGGCTGCTGAGAATTTGCATTTCTAACAAGCTCACAGGTGATGCTACAGTGGCAGGCTTAGGGCACCGTATGGCCCAATAGCTCTGTACCTTGACCACCTTTTAAATAAAGTATCCTAATTTGAGTTTGCTCTCTCTTGCTTCTGGAACCTTAACTAATATAAATGACTATAAAAAATTAGTTGAAAATAGACAAAGTTTGTTTTATGGTTAAACATGATTTGCTTGTTTGAAAAAGATGTGGTATGTATATATGTATACACACAATGGAATATTACTCAGCCATCAAAAAGAATGAAATCTTGCCATTTGCAACGAGGGTATTATGCTAAGCAAAATAAGTCAGAGAAAGACAAATACCATATGATTTCACTCGTATGTGGAATTTAAGAAACAAAACAGATGAACATGGGGAGGGAAGGAAAAATAAAATAAGACGAAAACAGGGAGGCAAACCATAAGAGACTCTTAACTATAGGAAACAAACTGAGGGTTGCTGGAGGGAGGTGGGTGGGGTAACTGGGTGATGGGCATTAAGGAGGGCGCTTGAAGTAATGAGCACTGGGTGTTGTAAGCAACTGATGACTCACTGAATTCTACCTCTGAAACTAATAATACAGTATATGTTAATTAAATTGAATTTAAATAAAAAAATTTTTAAAATCCTTAAATCAATGGAGAGAAAGCTGTAGGGATTTAGGAAACCATTTTGTTCAATCATTAAATTTCAGAGTATAAAGAATACAGACAAAGAGAGGTCCAGTGATTTCCCTGAGAGGACATAGCCAGTTGGTTTCTTGCCTTTCACGGAAGTCTTTCCAGGACACTAGGCTGCCTCTGGTCATACAGCTCCTACCTCTCCAACCCCACTTTCCTTCCCACCCCCCCACCCCCATCCCCTGGATTGTGTAATTGCCTTCTGTATTTTCATTATCTCTGCCTTTAGGTTTGGGCATCAGGGCTACCTGTGGTCTTTCAGGTAAGTATGCACCATAGCTTGGGGCAAGTGAGGATAAGATCTCCAGCTCACTGTTCAGGATAATGCTTAGCAGAACCAAATGTGTCATTGACCTTTTGTGTTCATGAGAGATAAGAGTCAATGGCAGGGCTCTTCTTAGAATGATATCTTAGAGTCTGGTCTATTATCTTCCAAGTCATCTTGCACTTGCTCACACAGAGCCTTACCTGACACTTTGCTTCTCATCTACTTTCCAAAGAGCTTTTCCTAGTTACTCTTTATTGCTTGGCTTTTCAAGTTGTTTTCTGAGAACCCTACACCTTACACTCTGGGTAGGCAGTTGCTTTACTTTTTTACTTTTTGCTTTGAGGTTGCTAAGGAGTTGCCCAAGGCCCTGTCTGCCCAGCCCCACCCGCCCTTTCCCGTTTTGTCACAGTGTTCTCTGGCCACAGAAGTTGGACCAGGTGTCAGTATAAGACACAACAAGATCCTTCCTCAAGATTTTTGACTCTGGGAAACTGGATTTCTAGCTGTAAGACTGGAAACCTGGGAGCTTCAAACAACCAAATGTTCTGCAGAGAAAAGCAGATGACAGCCAAGTGAGAAGACATGCAGCCGGTACCTGCAGTGAGAGATGGGGGACTATTTGCCTACACCAAGCCCCAGGCCCAGGTGTTCCTGAGGTTTAGGGCCATTGGCTGTCCTGTCCCTTGGTTGCTAAGCTCCTAAAAATTCTACATTTTTGCTTAAACCAGGTGAAGTTTGGATTTCTTTTATATGAAGTCCGATATTCTAACTGATAAAGTACTGCTAATAGTCATTTTTGTTTACCTGTTTATTTTTTGTTATAATAGTCTGCATGTATTGAGCACGTTCCATGGAACATTTAATCTGAGCAACACTGCTCAAAGGATTTTCAAGGCTTGTTTGTACTCAGAATTCAGCATTTTAGAGTTGCTCATCTTATCATTGTCTCATAGCACACTCTTTACCCCTCTGAGTATTTGCTTCTGTGGTTGCCTCAGACTCTATTGCTTATTCCTCAGTGTAGAACTCTGCCCGGCAAAGTCCTGCTCATCCTTCAAAGCCAACTTTGATGTAGCCACTCATAGAGACTTCCCTGCTCCTGGCAGAATGAATCACTCCCTTTCTTCTTGCCCTCCAATTCACATTAAATTATGCTTAATTGGCTACAAGTCTGACTCCAACACTGTGTTGAGAGCTCTGTGCGGGCACGGACTGTGTATTCTTCATTTGTCTAACTCCTGTTCCAGGCACAATACCTGCCCTAGAATAGGTGTTTAATAACTACTTGTTGAGTTACATCAATTTGGGGAAACTGCAGAGCCTAACCAGTGCACATGAAGAAATTATATTCTTGTGTATTCATATTTGCCTGGACAAATATGAAAAATGGCACAAGATAGACCACTGCTATGGCTCAAGTGAGCAGATGTCTTTACAGGGGTCGGGGGGGACCGTCTGGTGTGACTAATGAGAGACTTCCAACCTATCACTTCTAATACACTTTACTCTCAATACCTATTAAAGTCTGAACACTATTCACTAACTGAATTTGCAATACCCAGGCACTCACTGTGGCATAGAAAATTGAAAATAGACATGATTTATTTATGATCCTTGACTGCATCCCAGGTGACGTTCTGAATATTATTTTTTGTCAGAGGTGCCTTTATAGTAATTGAAGGGTACACGACCATGTAGCATGGGGCAGTGTTTTTGTTTTCCAGGATTGGAGGTGACTGTTTCATGGCCCAAGCCCTGAACATTGCCTCTGGGCTTGGCTCTGAAGTTTAAAGTTTGCCTTTTTAGGACAATGATTTAAATGTCTCCAGTGTCTCCAGTGGGTCAACTGCCCTCAGATCTCTTTCATAAATCAACCGGTGTGAGGCAACTGGCAGCAGGAAAGGGTGCTGAGCCTTATTGCATACAGACCAGGAGGTATAGAAGCCAGAATGTAACAACACTTCAGTGAAAATGAGGAAGCAAGAGAAATCGCTAGTTTGGCTTACAAATCCAACACTCCCAGCTGCACATGATTTACCAACTTTTTAACTATGGCCAATGTTTTATCTCAATCCTTGCTCAACTAACTTCCCAACCTATTTTGGAATTTCCTCTTTTCCGCCTATAATTCCACCTCTTATCCACCTATAATGATCATTGCCGAGTGATCACAAAAATGAAACATGATGTTCACATAAGAAAACACGAGAAGGCACAACTCATGTAAAATAAATTATGAAAAATACTTGAAAGATAAATTAAAAATGACTCTTGGAGTATCAACCCCTCTTAAAGAGCAGAAATAAATGAGAGTTCACTGAATTTTAGACAG